GTGGTTGGGAGCCATAGATGGAGCGGGGTTGAAGGCGGAAGACAGGGACGGGGTGGTGGGCTGGGCTGTGTGAGCGCGCTTCCCTTTGTACTACCGGAGGAATACGCGGTGGCACGAATTTCTGGCCTTGTGGAAGGTCGCACGCAGGTTAATAAGCGAGCAACCTATTCCGGCTCCGCGGCGGAGATGTTTTCTACAGAAATATACGCGGTGGGTGGTTGTGGTGCTGGAGAAGAACGCTGTATAATTATGCTCTTCCTGGAACGCCTGGAGGATTCTATGGAATTCTTGAGATAGTTTCGTAAGCCTCCGTTTTGTAGATGGTTGTTACCGCGCGTTGTGGGGATTTTGAACAATTATTGTCACGGAATACCCTGCGCGTATTAAAGATATTATGAAGAAATGCTCCAAGACATAGAGCATTCTCGAGGTTCTTGACAAAAAATCTGCACTAGTATTGTGGGTTTTTAAACTGGAACTATTACTAGGATTACGGATACACACGTAACACGGAACATACACAAGTACATCAAGAGCCTGTACACAATTATAATTTTTAGTTTGCAAGACATCGAAAATAATTAGAATCAGTTTTATTTTCATATTTTTGTCGTCTTTTCTTCTTTTCTTATTCCTTTGATCCAGCCAACAGCCGGATACACTTTGCATTCTAATGGGACGTATATTTGACTCCATTACACACCAACGCACATTGCGAGCTCCTCGAATCTGTGGTCTGCAGAACGAGATGCTCCCCGCGACAACAGATGAGAGATATATGAAAAAAAACACGATCAAGGCGGGACTCGAACCCGCGACGAGTTCGGCACCTAACCGAGGAGGCAGAGCATTGCAAACTCATTTTCACCGTTCGGGAAGTTGTGCGTCGCTGAAAGCCAATTTTGTTCAAGGGGGTCTGTTTTTCAGTATATCCTTTCAAAACGAAACAGGTTTAGAATCAGACTTAGTGTGGTGTGATTGTGAAAGGCTAATGAACCTGGATTTTATTATTCGCCTTAGTTACGATTATTTTGTGCGGAGTGTAATGTGGTTCTGAGTGTAATGCCACGTTTGGAATTGAAACACGGAAAAAATAATTTCTAAACTCCCAATAATATTAAAAAAATCAAAAAAAATGTTTATGAAACCCTCGTGTTACACAGTGTTTTAAAAGAATTTAACACAAGAAATTATCATTAATTTTAAAATTAAAATAAATTAAAAAATAAAACAAATTTAAAAATAAAAACAAATTAAAAAATAAAACAAATTTAAAATTAAAAACAAATTAAAAAATAAAAACAATTTAAAAATAAAACAAATTTAAAAATACAAAACAAAACCCAAAAATGTATATTGCTAATTTCACCACTATCGACCAAAAATTCATGTCAAAATTCATAGGAAGGGTGCGCTTTTGTTCTTGTGGCGCCAGCGTCACCCTGTCAGTGCGCGTGTCTCTTTGGAACCAGGAAAGCACGCCGCACACAGCGACCGCGGCGGTGCGTCAGCACAGGGCGGCGGTGCGCTCGGTGCGGTCCCCAATGTGAATACCCAATTGGTTAGAGCCGTTTAGATTTGTACAGTGGAAATAACAGCCAAACAAAAGTACGAAAAACGTTTCAGCACCATTTCCAGTAACTCAGGGCTTATGATAGGAGTGCTGTGAAGAAGACGGAGAAAGAAATGTAGCAATTCAGGTATTAAAACCGGTGACTGTTATACTCTCTACAGTTACACATGAGTCGGTCCTGTTCGCTGAAGATGACGATGATCTATGTATTCTCCGGAAAGTACCTAAAGAATACTCGGAGCGAATATGGGAAATAAACTGTAGCAAGACAGAGAATATAGAAGTGTCAAAGATTTGAAACTGGATGATGGTTCGGAAGTAATGCCCGACCAAAGGGTATAACCGAGTAAGGCGGTTAAAAGTGCCCCCAAACCAAATCGATAGTCGCGATGCTCGTATGAACGAGAACACAAAAAAAAGCCATAGATTTCCCCGAAAATCAACCTTCTATGCCCATCTGTTCCAGAGATACAACGAGAAACGTGTTCGTCATGTTTCAATTTTTCTCCGCGTCTATTGCATGTATCAGGCTAAAACAAATTGGCGAGGCAAGGGAAAACAGTGGTATTTGAAGGTATTTTTCAATTAATTTTGACGCCAAATTCAAAGAGAATTTTTTTTAAAATTTGAAATTGATTGTCGATATGATACCGTTAGAATACTGTCTCAGTTTTTACCCCTAAGAATGTGTCTTTTACCATTCTATAACATGAATTTCAGAATTTTAAACAATGTGGACGATAGTGAAAACAATTTAAACCAATTTTATCAGTTTAAAAATCTGAAATTCGCGCCAAAATGTGATGGGAATTTTTTTCAACAATGTCAACACATTTTATATTTAAATTATTGAAATGTATTACTTACCATCATGATTTACAATTTTCTGCTGACAAATGTTTGTTTTATGTGGAAAGTATTTATATTATCAAAAAAAATAATCAAAACTTTTGTTCTTAGATGTATGTATTGTTTGTAATAAAAATCAAATTACACGTTTTGGTAAATTAATCATTCATGTTTATAATATAAATCAAACTACTTGGAAGTAGATTTATTATTTACTGACAATTCGACAATCATCGTCACTTCATTGTCACTTTCTCCAATAACTGGGATCACGCGTTCGTTTATAGAGAGTGTACTAGACGTTTCTGAGGTTTAACAATTTTTGCCAAGTAACGAGCATGTGCCAAATAATAAACGATTGCAGTTATGTGTAAGAAGCAACCCAGGATGCCACTTTCGTTCGCACGTTCACAATAATATCGTTTCACTCCCGATATTTCCAGGGTGGAAGGAGACGAGCGAGCTCCTCCGGTGCTCCGAGTTTTGCACGTTCACTGCAGCACCAGTTTGTACCAAGAACCACGTGACCACAACACAAGCACTTTGTTTGAAAAGCGGGACCATACGTTGGCCGCCATGTTGCACGGAGAAGTTTTGAAAAACATTTTGAAAGTGTCATTAAGTAACATTTCTCAACGGTAACCAACCCAAAAGAACACGAAGGCGTAATTGAAATAAGGGATGCAATATTTAAGAAAAGTGCTTATCTGTTTTGTTTCAACGAGAGGTAACTGTTATAATTTTGACTTATAAAATTCCTGCTAATATGACGCAAACTGGTGGCTGAAGCTCATTGGCTGAGGTGGGATGCGCGAGAGCCCAACTATCTCTTTCTACTATGTATATTCCGATTAAATTGGAGACAATCGGTGTAACACCTATAAGATTTCCGGTTCATATGTCGCGATTCAATCTGTGTTTGAATATTAGTAAAAACGTTTTTACCAATAACACTATGGCGCGAATTTCAAATTTTTAAATTGATAAAATTAGGTTTAATCATTGTTCACTATCATCCACATTGTTTAAAAATCCGAAAAAAATATATGTTATAGAATGACACATTCTGGGGGGGGGGGTTGAGACAGTGTCCCAATGTTAACACGTCGAAATTCAATTTCAATTTTTTTCTATTTGAATTTGACCTCAAAATTGGTTGACAAAAATACATTCAAATTTTACTATTTTTTCCTGACACTCCAATTTTTTTCAGCCTGATACATGTGATAAAAACTGAGAAAAAAATTAAACATGAAAAACCGGTTTCTCATTGTGTCTCTGCAACAGATGGCCCTAGAAGGCTCGGTTTTGAGGATTCTGACGTGTTTTTTTCTCGTTCATGTAAGCAACGCGGTTATCGATTTGGTTTGGAGGGGACTTTTGACCGCTTTATTCGGCTAAATCCTTTAACATGCCTAATAAATGTAAATGGAAGCAATACACAAGACATAATCAGATTTCGAATGGTATAGTGGATATAAGACAACTACGTCCATTGATATGGAAAGAAATTAAGTAAAAGCGCGAAGTGAAAAATGTGTAAAACAGATGTAATGTTTTTCTTTATAGGGTTGGAGTAGGGGAAGTACCAATAAAGCGCAAAAGAAATTGACGGAAATTTATGGAGAGAAATGGAGGGTGGGATGCGAGAGACGCCCAAGGGTGAAATATGACTGGCAATACTACCGCGACCCTGCTATATGCGAGCGTATACAGTCGCGATCATGCGACATCTACCGGCACGACCGAGATACATGGGATATACAGTAACCTAATGCCACCGTGAAGTAGGGCCTTGAGGGGCAGAGACAGAAGAATCACATCTATTAGGAGGATGAAAACTATTGGAATCCGCCCAACCCCGCCACTGCATGTTGACAACCTGACCCCCTAATTGCATCTCATGTTTGGTCGTTATAAATTTTATTTATTTTCGTTAACGAGACACCTGGACGGTTGTATTAATTTTTTCATTTCACTCACGTGGAATTTTCAATTCAACAAACACGATTGGAATATAATATAATTATTTGAGGACGGTCAATTTTTACTTTTTGTGCCACTAAGCACATACGCTGTTACAAACAATACTGTCTGACAGAACGTTAATGGCCGGCTGCACTGACCTGTAGCTTTCCCTAGTTTCTCCCATCAACGCCACGTGAATACTAGAGCAGTCCCTAACAAACGGGTCATAGATCCGCGCGCAATATTTTCTTTATCCCATCCTCACCTCTTACACACACACACACACACACACACACACACACACGTATATGCACTTCATTACTACACATACCGGGAAAGATGTTGGAAGCTTAGTACTTGTTCCGTCTGGCGCGAAGCCCCGTTGGGAACAGAGTTCTCCCGTTTTGACATTTGGAGCTTCACTTGGCGTCATAAAGCGTACTTGTCTAGCGTGTATGGCGCACAGACCACCTATTGAGGCAATCACCACCTTCCGAAGTTAGGCGGTGGGCACGTAAGCCTGTGCCGAGACTATACCACAGTATACGTATCATATAGTTAGAGCAGCTCCGCCCGTTATGGGGCTAGTTGGGGATACGCGCGCATACAGCTAGCGTTATTGATGGGGACAAAGTAAAAGTACTCATAGTTCATACCGTGAAGTATACAGATTTGTTTGTGCAATTGCGTTTGTCATGAGAGAAGTAGAATATTAAAAACTAATAATTGTTATTTGTTGATTTTCTGTTTTTGTATTTCTAGGATTTCATGATCAGATTATTAAATAACACGTAAAATTACGTAGAACCAACGTTTTAATCTTACATTTGACATGAATCGAGACCGATTTGATACGCACCACCTGAGTACTTTTCTAGTTTGCAAATTAATAACAATGCCTGTGTTGAAAGAGTCGCAGTGTTGTGCAAGTAAATGCAGCAGTAATAAAGGAAAAACCCCGAGTTCTTTTTGTTTACTTTCTTAAAGACCTAGAAAGGAAAGACGGAAAGTTATTCAAAAGCACATGAGAAATGTTCCCTCCTGGATACTATTATTTACTATTTACATTACTTGCATTTCTATATATTGTCATGAAAAGTGTAGAAATACTTGTTACTCGTCATTCTACTATTCATTAGATTAGATTAGATCATTCTACTATTTTAACATTCATTAGATTTAAATAATTCCCTTCCTTAAAAATTGTTCAACATGTTACTTTACATGTTGCAGTAGATATATTTATAAGAAAATTCAAATATATAAAAAATCATTTACATTTATCTTCGATATAGCAGAATGATGATTACTAATGGTAGTGTTCCTCTGTCGCCGCGTGGAAAGCTAGAGTCGCTGACCACTACGTCGTCATAGCGCATTTAACACGAAGCTGCGCTGTTGTATTAAACGTATACGATTGGATGACTGTGACTCTTTTCAGCTCGTGGCCTTGAAAAGACTTACTGTTTTAATTGAAGTACAGCGTGGGATTATAAAATGCCTCTACTCATCGACCTTGTCTTGGGGTGCCTCTTGTCCCCTCTGGTCCTTGCGGATCTCAGAAATCCAAAACTCTTTCTTATAAATGATTTACTCTACCTACAAAACTGCACATGACAAACTATTCTGGATATAACAGTTATTAACTACTTAGTCCAAACATACAATACCACCTAGTATTAAACCGCAGCATGTGGAATGGAATGTAATAAACAGCCAATAGCGGAAATGTATTCTGCGACGCGCGCGATTAGAATTATTCGCACTTGATATTTGCATACATTAATAGTGCTGCCTTATTACCACGAAATTCAAAGGTATGTTCTCAGTAAGAAAATAGATCTAATCCGTTCATATTTCTCACATTTACCCTCCACACAGAAAATCAATGTTTACGTATTTGATTAACTGTCGACATTTTAATGATGTCAATGAAATTCTTCATTTATTAAAACAGCATTGATGCGCATTTTCATTCCAGCGAATTTATCAGGTTATTGATTCTTTCAATAGAATAATGTAAATTATGTCTGCTTTGAATTCCCAGAAACCCATTAGCTGGCATTTTTCGTACAAATGAAAATACTGTGTGAATTTCTCAATTTGCAACATTACTATAGAATACATGATTAATTTACTCATTATTCAACGAGAAATGCTTCGTTTTCCCTGCATTGTATGCTTTTATAGAATTATATCAGGCTATAGGATCAATGTTGCCAATTTTGTCAATGTTTTTCCGGTGTTGTTTAGATACATTGATGTAGGAAATGTTGTCAAAGTAAAACCAAAATTTTAAAAAATTGCCCTAATAAATCGTGGTATTCTGAATGTTCAGAGTGGAAATCTTTACTTTGAATAAAATATTTATGTTTAGTTTGCAAATGTGTTTTGGTTTGGTTACTTTTAGAACAGTAGTTTCATTGACACAAATAAATAATAATTAATATTTTAGTAAATATTAATGGCTAGAGGAACACATACTAAGCAAAGTAATAAGTTTGTTATAAATAAATGACTCTTTAATAATAATAATAATAATAATAATAATAATAATAATAATAATAACAACAATGTTTGTTGTCTAGTGTAACTACTTTGATACAAAAATTAATTAAATAAATACGTTGCAAGTTTTGTTCATCATTCTGTACAAGTTTAGTACCTACATAGAGAATTGGTCCTAGTAACTTGATGCATAATTATTGTTTTGATAACAGTGATAATTATTACCGTTATTCTGGTTTTGTTGCTGTTGTCCTGCTGTTGTGTTGATTGTGTCTATTGTAGCAGAGTTTCTATTGCTGTTCAGATTGTTACCTCGAGAATGCGTTAATTCGATCCGAAGGGCCGTGAATTCGAGTGGCTCTTGGACATGGGTTCTTTGTCGCTTCACCATTTGTGAATTTGTTTGTGGGTCGGGATCTCGCCCTCAACGAGGGAAGATTAACGCCACCTCACCTCCCCCACGATAACAAATGCACTATACTTACAGGACTAAGAAGCCTAGCCGTTGACGTGCGCGGAACCACTAATCAGTCACTCAATCGTTCACCATTCCCAGTTTTCACTTCCTGTCCGTACTATCTAACAACCTTCTTGTGCAAGCCTTCCAGCTCTACTCTTAAAATATCTTACTAAAAGTATCCTTCCAGTTTGGTATCCAATCCAAAACTGTCGTCAGCTGATTAGACCAATCCAAAACCGACAGCTATCTCCAATTCGGTAGCATTTTCTGGAGTTTTTATCATCCTGAAAATTGAATATTATGGTACCCCAAAGACAGAAAATTATTTAGATTTAGCTCTTTCTGTTATTTATAAGCTGTGTTTTGACCAATGTAGCGTGAGTGATGAGGTATGATGAGAAATGAACATGTACTATCGATTTCATAGCACATCACAGGGGATGGTAAATATAACACAACACTGAAAATCACTATGAACAAAACATTTTCAATTGCACTGGACACGGAAGACGGATGAGACGTAATTTTATAGTATGTAGACACCTGAATTAAATACAACAACTATAAGAATTACAATTCGGATGCGTATTTGAGTAGCTCCAAAAGGAAGATGTACGGGGAAGCAAACAATAAACTACTTTACATACGAAAATTGGCGTTTAACTGCAATAGACAAAACGTTTACAAGAAAAAAGTTACAAACTCAACATTAGGTTTGAATAAACGGAAATACCCAAAAATGGAAAATTGAAAGCAAAAAATGTAACGTTTTTAAGATACAGTTTTTTCACAATACACTTTATTTTATATTTTGATAATATTTGGGTTTTTATTTAAAAAGTCTATGATTAGCGCAAGATTCCTGAATGTCACTTTCTTCAGGTTCATCATCACTTTCTTCTCTGTTTGGGATAAGTGATTGTTGATACATTCGCTTCATTAGATATATTTTGTATCCAGAAAGGCATACTTCTTATTTAATAAGAATATTTAATAGTCGTTGTGAAAGTGAGGATTGCAAAAGAATGACACTTTTGGCCCGTTTTTTCCACTACCAATTTTACTACTCGTATACGTACGATTGCTAACTCGTGAGAATTTTGAATGCTTTATTTATTTTTTTACATTATTATTATTATTATTGTTATTACTATTACTATTAGTAACAAATAAATGACTTTGAAAATTACCTGAGAACTTTGGGGCTTGGCTGAAGGCCTTTAAGTCATTAAAATACCTACATCCTGCCGCGTTCTAACCTTTTGAAATCTGCAATTTACCGCAAATGGTCACTCCATTTCATCAAAGCCATGGAAAAGAGACCGAACGGCTCACGAAAGAAAAACCTGAAAGTGGAAAATCTTGCCGGCAGTAGACGAGTACATGCTAATCTACCTCACTTTTTCTGAACCATTTATTTCCTAGAGCACATGTCACGCATTCTCCAACCAGAGTTTGGTCTCCTCAGAAGCTGTAATCAAACAGTGCCGCAGATTATTGTCTGCACCATGGCCTCTGTGCTTACTTCTCGAACTCCCACTCCCCTTTTGCCCCCTAAAATGTTCATTTAATTACATATGTCTACATACTGAAACTTGTTGTAATCATCAGATATGAAAGCATATTTTTCTAAACCAGTTTTTTATTTGGATTACGGTATTTGCATTCAGAATTACGCCACCACCCACCATTATTCTCTAATAGTGAATTATTATTATACTGAATACTTTATTATACTAAAAATCGTCCATATTTCATTTCCTTATGAAAGTGTTGGGAGCACAGAAATCTATTATATAATATTATTTTTTCTCTTAGTCGAAGTTGATGTAAATAATTACTTAATTTTACGTGCTAATTATAATTATAGAAACATTTCTTCCAAGAATTCGAATAAACAGACGATTTAATTTGACTTAAATTAACTTATTTTCCAACCAGTTAAACGTAAATTATTCATCACTGTAGGCGTATTAAGACAAATACTTCACGCAGTCTCTTAATAAAAGATACTTTTATACCTCCTTATATGACGGAAAAAATAATAGCGAACAATATGATTTCACGGTACCTCGGCTGAAGCGTATCGTGCACAACTTCTCACCCGACAACGCTCCGCTCCGAACGAGAGTCCTCGGAGGAGCAGCAAAGAAATCCAATTTCAAAAATATCCCAACGGGACAGCGGCACGTTCCAGGGATGTTTCTCAGGGGGTCACTCCACAATGTGGCGAGGCGCAAAGCGTTCACCGCTTGCCCTTTCATCTCCTAACGGCGGCCGACGTGAGAGGCTGCGTGCCGAGTGCGCTCCCCCGCCACGGCCTCGGCCTCGGCCACGTGCATGCGCACGCGGCGAAGGGGTCGGAGCCCCGACACGCTTGTCCGCACTCTCGCCCCGGTTATTAGCGTAGCGTCCTCCACTCCCTGACTGCAGCAACGAAGTCCCTTTTATGTTAATTTAATTGATAGTTGAGATTCAAAATACAAAATTCAATTCAATCCAACCAATGCGGCCGATAAGATCATCACACGCCAACCGCATTCACCCCGGCGTCTGGTAATGTCAAGCAATACAAAAATAACTGGCACCCTCCCAATGAACATCGACACTAAACTCAATCGGAAGCAACATTAGACACCAAAGTTACTCAATGCAAAATCAATATCATTCAATAAAAGCTATTAATCGCAGATCCAGCCCCTTACCATGAAATTCAGCATTAACCACATACAAAGTAATAAGAAGACCCTTGATATTCATGGCCTTCTCAGTCTGGTTAAATGAAGCAAATATCAAACAAAGAAAAAAAACAAATTACACAAAGCCAATACCTTAAAATTATTTCAAATATCCCCCCCTATTTCACCAATAAATAAACATACAAAGAATTTAACTTCGAAACAATAGACCATCACATCCTTTTTAACCTTTTTATCTCAAATATTTTCACCATCAATATACAGACTCAACAAAAACCCTTCTCGTACAACAAGAATACAAACATTACAAATATTCCTTTTCACATTCTCTTCAGGAAATTCTCCGAATTATATCTCGACAAGAAGAGTCCAACGGGTAACCTCAAGCAATTTGAGAGTTTTAATTTAAATAAGCGATTAAGTCCACATGCATATGTACAATTAAGTTGAACTAAACTATGTCAGTAAATTTATGAAAAAAATTGCTAACGTAACGAGTGTTTCTAAACATATCTAACTGAGAATTTCAAAATCACAAGTGATATTTATTAAGATGATTTATTCATAAAATTTCATAAACAAGAGAGGATAGGTTAAATAAGAAAGAAAAGAAGTACGAGAAGGAGGAAAAATGAGCGTGAAAAGAAGGAAAGGATGGAAAAGAAGAGGAGAGTGAGAAGGAAAGAAAGGAGAGGTAACAAATGAAGGATGAGGAGTAGACGAAACAAAAGTAGCAAAATATGTGAAGAATTCACAACATTGGTGAGGTAGTCCTCATAACGAGCAAAGTTATACAAGGTCTCTATGTAATGAAAACTTAAACGACTGGGAATGTGAATATGAAAAAGTAATAAATATTTAGCAATAATAACTCGTCTTTCATTATCTTTTAATATCCGAATTCCTGCATGCTATACTCCCATTCTTGGCTGAAATATGTGTGAAGCAGTCGATGATATTCAGTCGCCTGGAGTGTTAGCCGCTTCTCCTCTGCTATATGGCGGATATGAGGTGAGGGAACGGAGCACATTTCCACTCAGCGACTACATCAGCATTGAGCGAGATGGTTGGAAATAAAGTGAATGGAAACGTTAGAACACGCGTGCGTTCAATCAAAGTATGGCCAAGATAATGAATAATTTTAAATATTTCAAGTGTATTAGATGCGATGATGGTGATGGTGATAGTGATGATTATGAATGTTTAAGGACTCACGTCAGATCATCGCAGTGAAGTGTATGCACTGGGACAATTCCAAGCTAAAATAGTTTTAAACACAAAGTTAAATGCATAAAGAAAACCAACAGTGTAAAATGTTTAGAAGAAAAATGAAAAAAATTGGCAATGAAGGAGTTAAGGGAACACTCCAAAATTTGGTAAATAAAGGTCGTCTCGATTGCCATTATCCTTCTCTCTCAGATTAGACTATAAATTCCATTTTCTTATTAAAAGCTGAAAAGCTTACAAAGAGAGGATTCGTTACTATGAATGCACTGACTTGGGTACGTTGGCCCTGTGCCCTGGATGCGGCGTCTCCCGGATAGCCCCGGAAGCACCGACTCCGGCCGCGGAGGCCTACGTTCTACGAACTATGAAGTAGTTCTCTCGGAGACGGAACAAGGCAATGTTTCCGGCTGTTTTCTATTCCCTTACACTACACGAACACACTGTCAAGTGTTTACAACACGAGAAGGATGATATGGATTTGAGGTGGAGAAGTTGGATCTACTTTTATTGCTTCAATCTTCCAATTTGTTAAGGAGAAGTTGCAGTTCCTTTCAATAAAGAGTATGCTATTCGAAGACCAAAAACTGAGAGACTTCAACGAAGAGAGCGATGTTATAGTACGCAAATGTTCATATATTGTAAAACTGTAGGGTTATGGCTACCACCTGGCAATCAGCCAGTTGTAGCCAAATAAATATTATTATTATTATTATTATTATTATTATTATTATTATTATTATTATTATTATAGCATTTTCACGTATAACTGACGCTATAGTGACCATAGCAATGGCAAAGAAAGTGTAACTCAGAATTAATCCCCCACGGCTTCATTTTCCAACTGATGTCTGGAACATAACGTGTAACTAAGGTGGACGTGGGAAGACACTGTAGATGAAAAGGCGTCCAAAAACTATGATAGTCGTCCCGTAAGTCCTCAAATATTCAGGGTGCGATGGAAGCCATACCTCTAGTTCAGATACACTTCGTTGTGTTTGAAAATAACTGCTGTGAGATTCTGTCGTAGTACGAAGAATGTGAAGATATCTGTATCTGGGATTACTAAGTGGTCCATGTTTAACCGATATCTACTGAAACCTCATTGGTTAGGAGTAAGCACGTTCCTTTGTTTCAGGATCCAGACTAGGCGAGCGTTCACCATTCATTGAAAAAGCTCGCTGACAGAGATTGTAAGCGAGATTGTGCGGGCAGATTGTATAATAAATAGCTTGGTCCCTTCCTACCATGAGTATTGATACGTCTATATCTTTGCGTCAGTGGTGACGATGATGTAACCGTCAGCTTATCGAACTGTTGCACGCGGGTGCAAACCCAATCGAAACCGTGGATTTTTAAGGGCGAAAAATCCTTCCAACGCCTTCCTTCGGAGGGGAAATAAAACCGACTGTCCCATGATAGTAGATTTGCTGCATGAAAAAGATCCTCAAGCCTAAATGAAGCCTCTGAGCTAAACTCATAATGGCCTGTTTCGTCGCCCAAGAAATACCCCCTTTCTCCGCTAACTGGTGAAAGGAGCGCAGCGAAATTTGCGTGGTCAGACGGAAGAACGGACCTGGTGGCCCGAGTGTCGCCACGTGAAATTATGCATTAATTCAATTTCATTCTCAAAAAAGTTATTCTCATATACCTAAATTCGACTAAAGAGGCGAAGGAGGAAATATTTTGTTTTCCATTAGGTGCTTTAGGATTTGGTTATGTAGCTGGTCAAGTCCTGGGGCAGAAGCTTTTTCGCGAGCAAGAGCAGAGCACATTCATCCACGAAACAAATTAGCTTTGTAATCTTACAAATCTTTCGACAACTCGAAAATCCAATATACAGCTCTCCAATCTTCTCTTCGTATTAAGAGAGCTCGAGGTATAGTGTGAAGAACTGGAGATGTTTTCATACAAAGAGGCCAGTTCCTCAACTATATCTTCTCAGGAAGTGAGGAAATTTTTATTTACCAGCCACCCGGGAGAAGTACCAGCCACTCAGTGGGGAAGCCTTCACCTGACTTTTCGCACCTTTTGACGTAGCACTTTAGCGTGGCCTGGCATGAAACTGAGGAAATATGCGTATAGCTCTTCAGAGAGCGACCTCACTTCCTCGTGTGGCCAATCTACGTAGCTCTGGCCCGGTTGTTTTTATTACTGATCGAATTTGCGGAAGTGGAATCCTAGATTCATCCTAAATTCATCACAAGTACTGGAATATATCAGCATAAGAAGGTAACAAAAAGTAAAAGAACTTCAATAAACACGAAAGTTACAATACATTGAGAAAGGAAGTCCTTCAATTTCACAAAGATTGTTATATTATTTGATTTCTAGAATATGAGAACAGCATTCAAAATACCGGGAATGCCAATATAGGCAAAACTTTACATCAAAATATCACTGAATATTTACAGACATTATGTAATAATTTAACTCTAAATACTACTTACAAAATACAAACATGAAAATGCTATCGTGTGTTGAAATTAAGATAAATTACTGTGAAATCCTTAGTCCTAAGCGTACTCAGGATGAAATCAAAAATTTGTCATTCGCAAATAAATAATATACTTTGTCTTATGGACTAAATCATTTCCATTTTCTGAATTACGCTGGGAATGTCAATCACAGATATGAACATTCTGAAGCAGTATTTAAACAGAAAATTCCCGATGTGTAGGACTGTATCGTTAAAAAACTATAATAAAATTGGCTAAGAGATAAATTGTTACACTTCCTTCTCCCACTCTTTCACTCCCTCACACTCTCTCACCCCCACACTCTCTCACCCCCACACCCTCTCACCCCCACACTCTCTCACACTCACACTCTCTCACACCCACACTCTCTCACACTCTCACATTCCCTCACCCTTTCTCCCTCACACTTTCTCTCACACTCTCTCACCCCATTCCAAAATAGCTTCTCCTACAGTCAAAACCCACAAAAATAATGAATAATTTTGCAAGCGTTTATGTAATGTTAGCACGCTTCCAAAATTATTGTGGTCACAACTGAAAAAGTAATTATATTTTATTTCAACCACACATATATTTCTGAGTTTAATTTTTTGAACACTTTATAGAAAAATAAACTTTTTTTCCAAGAAAATCTTTTCAGTTTCCATACTATTCCGCTGTACGGAAGTTTAACTGCATAACAGTGCAACATCTACAGAAATTTCGTACCAATTGGACATTGAACGCCCTAAAATGGTGTGAAAAGGACTTGCACACTGACATGCGTTTCCTTAAAGAATAAGTACAAATCATAAATTTAAGAACAGAACATTTCGGTACTTTTATGTGGATAAGGGATTCGTGTGGTTACCACAAACACAT